GAGGAGCATCTCGAGCACCTTCGCCGTGTTCTAGAGACTCTTCGGTCAGCMCGGTACAAAGCTAACCGCGACGAATGCGAGTTTGTCCGGCAAGAGCTTGAATACTTGGGTCATTTTATCTCTCCAGAAGGCATTCGTCCGTTGGCGGACAAGATTCAAGCCATCCAGGAGTGGCCCGAGGCGAAGAATGTGACGGACATCCGATCCCTCCTCGGCTTGGCCGGTTATTATCATCGTTTCATCAAGAGTTACTCGAAGATCGCGACCAACCTAAGCAAGTTACAAAGCGAGGAGCAGCCTTTTGACTTCGATGACGATGCGCGCCATTCTTTTGAAACACTCAAAGCGACACTCTTATCCGCCGAGGTGTTACATATTTACGACCCGCTTCTAGCTACGCGCGTCACTACCGATGCGTCGGGCTATGGCATTGGGGTCGTCCTTGAGCAGCACGATGGCACGGACTGGCACCCGGTCGAGTACTTCAGCAAGAAAGTACCTCCTGTGCATTCGATCGACGACGCACGGAAGAAGGAGCTTCTTGCCTTTGTCCACGCCGTCAAGCGTTGGCAATATTTCCTCCTTGGTCGGAAAGCATTCCGATGGGTAACGGATAACAATCCGTTGGTATTCTACAAGTCGCAAGACACGATTAACAGTACCATTGCCCGTTGGATGGCCTTCATCGACCAGTTTGACTTTTTCCCCGATCACATTCCCGGGAAGTCAAACCGTTTTGCGGACGCCCTCTCACGGCGACCGGATCTTTGCACCGCAGTCTACTCTACCTTCGAGATCGACGACGACTTGCGGGAGAGCTTCATCCGCGACTATAAAGTCGACCCCCACTTTCGCGACAAGTACGCGAATTGCTTCTCTCCGAATCCGGTGCCTTCGCATTATCGGATCCAAGAGGGCTACTTGTGCATTCACGGGGTAAGGATCTTCTTTGTGTGCCGAATGATGCACACTTGCGCACACGGCTTCTTGGCGAGTTTCACGATGCGCCCGCCTTCGGACATTTTGGTGTCAACCGTACACTTGGCCGACTTCGCCAGCGGTTCTATTGGCCCGACCTTCTCAAGGACGCCACCCGCTATTGTGAGTCGTGCGAAGTCTGTCGGCGTTGCAAGKCAYGCAACCATCGTCCGTTCGGCGAGCTACACCCATTACCAGTGCCCCTTGGGCGACGGGAAGCAATTGCTATGGATATCACCGGCCCCTTCCCGAAGCACAAGACGCGTTGATGGGATCCTCACGGTCGTCGACCGCCTCACCAAGTACGCCATGTTTTTGCCTTGCCGCTATCACGCAAAGGCACCGGAGTTAGCCGAGGTCTTATACACCGGTTGGATTCGCTCCAAGGGCTACCCCAAGGAGATCGTTTGCGACCGGGACACTCGCTTTCTCTCCGACTTTTGGGTCGCCCTTGTCAAGCGATGGGGCTCATCTTTGAAGCCGAGCTCGGCTCGCCACCCGCAAACCGATGGTCAAACGAAAAGGGCGCATCATACCGCTCAAGTCCCTCTACGCACTCTCATCCGTCCCGACCAGGTTGATTGGGTTGAGCGCTTGCCAGACGTTGAGTTGGCTTACAACTCATCGATCCATCCGGCTATCGGGATGTCGCCATTCGAGTTTGAGCATGGTTCACCCATCTCATCGCCGCTGGACGCCACTTTGCCGCGCACAGCTGAGAGCGACGACCATCGTGCGTTCCTTCATCGCATGCAAGAGCTTCCTGTCAAGGCACGGGATCAGATGTCGAAGACGCAAATACGGATGAGCCGTCAAGCCAACCGCAATCGCCTTCCTTGCCCATTCCGCGCCGGCGATC